ACCTTAACCTCATTGCAGAACACAGTGGAGGGTGGACGGCACCGCGGCAGCTGTGTAAATGCATAGAATATTAGTGTCAGGGTGTGCGGGTCCCAGGAGGTACAGAAAGGCGTCTGCCAGCAACAGAGGAGGCAGTGTGATGAATAAAAATCATCACATCAGCGGGTGATCTGGAGGGGGGAATCAGGAGAAGGTTGGTGGGAATCTTCTACTTTCATTAACTACAATAGAGCTGAGAGCGGAGCAGAACAACCTCTAGTCAGACCACTGAGGTGTGTGTGTCAGTTGATAGCTGTGCAACGAGGGAGTGGGGCTCTCTGGTGTGCATCATTTCGTGGTGCACACATTCCTTGATAACACACCTACCTGTAGGTTTATAATATGTCTGGGTCAACAGACATTGGCAGCACAGGGGGAGGCTAATGTGCAGCTGATAGCATCTTTGCTTCTTGGGCTATGTGGGGAAGTTCTAAACATAATGCGAACTGCTTTGATGAGCTTAGACGAGCTAACGGCTAGTTGTAACGCGTATTTTAGAGGTCCCAACTCTTTTTGTTGCAAATGTTTCATAAACCTTTACACGGTTTTAAATGTAGCACCAGATTGTTACTATTGTTCAAATACACAATCTAGAAGTCTTGAACCAGAGGTTAGCGAGATAACTAGCTCTTCTGCTCATCTCCACTGTGAACAAAACAAACAGAATAATGTTTGTAGATAATTTTATATCAACAGCTGGGAGCAGATTTGAAAAATAATGTTTGAATAAAATAATATTACATTTTAAATCACAGATAAAGCTGATCACCAGGAGCATCTGACAGTCAGCTGATTTTTTATTTTGATGCATCTGAACTGCAACAGCTCAATTTTTCACCAAAATATGTTTAAAATGAGCTAAAAGGTTTATTCATGTGCTCTTAAAATGCAAATATAACTCCAAGTGCACCAACTAACCTTTTTCTCTAAGCATGAGCTGAATATTGTGCAAGTTTTGCAGCTCTAACTGAACCATAAAACAAGTTATTATAACAAAATACTAAATTCTTACATTTAGATAGAACTATGTGGTTTTCTCGGTTATTTGTTTATGCTGTAAACATAAAAAATATTAAGGCAATAAAATGATAAACTTTTGTCTGAAGGGTACATTTTTTAAAATCTCTTCACACATTTGATTTAAAACACATGAAAACCACAAAGATTTGACTTTAAATGAGGTTTGGAAGGCAGCAGCGTTTGTCCTCTGCAGGGGAAAGCATATTAGTGGAGAGCACATTAAGTGATACACGAGTACACCATTAACAGAGGGAAGTTAATGTACTCCAGAGTTATTCTCCTGCATTAAGGCCAGACATCAAGCACAATAAGTATCATCTATTTTACGACAGGTAGCTGCATATTTTATGGAAGTACATCTGCAGAGGAGAGGAGGACCAGAACATGTGGAGACCGATTCAGAACCCAAACAGTTTCTTTTGGGAAGTGAAAGTAAAGACGGGGAACATTTGCACAAATGATGAATAATCACCAAAGCCTTGTTCGCACACGCCCCATAAATAAACGTGTCACCTGTGTTTACCGCCTACTTGACGGTGAGTAATCATGCGGCGAGAGACATCTGCCACCGCACTGGATGGTGGCGCTGCGTCACCACCTCTGAACCCGCAGGAAGTGCCGCACCGCCTGAGCAGACATCGTCAACCCACGAGGAGGTGGCAGGATTTAGTTCCTCCTCATTCAAACAAAAACAAAATCATCAGAACAAAGAAAAAGCTTAGAAATTGTGTTGCAGATGGAAAAAAAGGACAAACACAAAAGAAACACAGCAGGTGTGAAAACCAGATGATGTGTAAAATTTAAGAGTCAAAAAGTTGGAGGGAAATAAAACAAGAAAACTAACCAGTCAGCAGACGGTAAGCAAGAGGAAAAGCCCCAGAAAATAATCACAGAGAAAGTATTTTGGCAGTTAGAGAGGGGAAGTTTGTGTCGAAGGTTCGAATAAATGCTGAATATATTAAAGATTCCTCTTGACGTTACGAGTAGGGCTGTCACGGTAACCGCAAAAATGAAATATCGCAATATGAAGAAGCCCACCGCGCTGCATCATGGGCCACCGCGATTACTGAACTTGATTCAACTCAATGATGCGTGTTGAGAAGGATGGCTGCACTGGTATCAAAACGAAACGTTACTTCGCTCCTTTGGGAGCACTTTGGTTTTCAGTACGTCAGCTGCTGCGCAGCCAGAGTCCTTGGCCGAGACAGAGCTGCCACCAGCGGCAAAAAAATAATAATAAACGCTCGGAGACCTGCTGAAGTCCCGGACAAGCACTGCTTCTGCAACCGTCCTGAAGAGAGTTTGAGCCGAGCTGGAGCTCACTCGCTACCTGCAGGAGGAATGCATCCACCCTAAAGAACCCCCCTGACATGGTGGAGCAACAACCGGGAGAGATTCCCTTTGCTCGCCAGTCGCATGGAAGTACGTGTGCGTTAGTGCAACGAGCGCACCATCTGAGAGGGTTTTCAGTGTTGCTGGAAATGCTGCCACCCCTCTCAGATCCTCTCTCAAACCGTATATGGTTAACATGCTGGTTTTCCTTGTGGGTAACAAGGACGTGACCGAGCTATAAATCACCGTTATTCGTGTGTGTGAAAGTGAAAGTGAAATGATAGTGCCCCGCGCCCGGTACATGTAATTTTTTATGCTTGATTTTAAACAACTAAACAAAATGGGGACTTGTTTCTTATTTTTTAGATGCTGCAGCCAAATTTGCATTTAAAAGATTAACCTTCTCCTGAATTTTGCTGTTTTTAAGTTCAGTCGGACTCCGACTGTCGGACAAACAAACGTTACTGCGATCTGTGTTGTTACTGCCCTTTGATCTGCATTCAGTAAAGTGTTATTAAAGAAGGCACGGCAATTTTTAACCTTTTTTAAATGTGTAAACATTATGTTTAGATAGTACTGCAATAAAAAAAAGTGCTGCAATAATATCGCACACCGCAATATTAAGCCACCCTGAATCACCGCAGGGGGAATTCCTCAACCGCGACAGCCCTAGTTACGAGTACGTCGTTTAAAGTCTAATTAAAAGAACGGACGCATGCAACGCCATTATCCGTCCTTTCAAGGGCTCTCCAGCAGGCTCGCGAGGACGGACGGAGTCGAGCTTTCTTATCTAAACATCCGTCCGACAAGACGGAGAATACAAGCTTGTGATTGGTCGGGACGCCAGTGCTGCCATTGTGCCCTCAAAAACATAAAGAGAGCTGAAGACATGTAGCGGCAGACATGGAGCAGCTTGAAGAATCCCTCGTGAAAAAAACTCTAAAAATATGAAAGTTTTATTCCCCCGTGACTGGAGGAGTGAAAAGATACAGAGCAAGCATTTTATTTGTGAATGGAAATGACGGGAAACGTGGGTTAAGAGCGAGGTGGCGAGCGCATGAAGTGGTGGAGGAGAAGGAGAGACAAATTTGTCCGTGTTAAAAAGGCTCTTAAATGCAAAAACACAATATAAACACAATTAAATCCATCTTGGACTGGATACAGGACAGGATACCACAGAACAGCGCTTCGCCCCCTGCTGTCCTGGCAGGGAATTGCTTTGCAACACTCCCCAGGAGACGGAGAAGTCTGAAGGCAAAACGTCTCCCTCAGTGAGTGCATGTCTCCACCTCGTGGAGCTGACAGAGAAGCATAAATTAGGCTTTAGATGAAATCAGGTATGCTGAAGAGCTCTAATAAACTGACAAGCCGAGGTTTATCGGATTCTCAAATCAGATCGACTCCTTTATGAAATAAATTGTGACAAATCTAGGGCCTTCTGCTTATTTTGGGAGATTTCAGCAACTGACATGATGCATGCTTCATACTAGGTGCATTATGCAAGAATGAACTAAGAATGACATCTAATGTCATTGTTTACTAACTTAACTTTAACCTTCTGGATGAGCTCCAGTTTTATTAACTGAACTGGTTTTAAAAAAAAGAATCCTTGAGTTTAACGCAGATGTTAGCTCTCGGTCAGCTTTCTGCTACACTTCTATAAATAATGACACTTTGCACATTGCTCTCCATTCACAGATTAATCTGTGTTAATTCAACCACGTGTGTCTGAACAGAAGCAGCTCCCACCAACGGTTGCAAGTTAACGATGTCTGCATGAATGGTTCTTTAAATGAGTCTCCTGTCCGACTCGGCTCAGGGCTCTCCAGAAAAACCCACTCGACCCGCTCTACGTGCAGACAAAAGTAAAGACAACTGCGTACTAAAGCCACTGCCGTTAAATAAAACGAGTTCATTCTTCATTACACACAAAATGAGTTTGTATAAACAGATCAGTGGCTGTGAGATAAGCATGTCGCCTCGCAGCTCACCCTGACAACCAGATCCCTGGTTAAATAATAAAAGAAGAATCAGGCCAGATAAGACACTTCACTGTACATGACCCAGGTGGCGGAGATTCAGTCTATTAGAGAAAGTCGATAGATAAATCAGCGCTCGCCACCGTGCTTCCTTGCAAAAGCAGCACTTGGATGATTGATGGCTGAATACAGGCCTTAAAGGAGACATAACATGAAAAACCCACTTTTTTATCCGTTAACACAGTGTGTTTCACATTTTAAGTGTCTAAGTGAGCAAAAAGGCTTATATTATTCACTGGAGTTGCTATTTAGATATTTAATAATTAAGTTTTGGGCATATTTGTCCACCCGTTCAGTTTTTCAAATTATCTATTACATCAGTAATTTATTTTGTCAGGATAACTACCAAATATGGTAATGGCCCTCGGCTAAACACAGAGCCAATCCGCCATTTTTTCATCTCGCTAAGATTTTTTGTAGTCCTATTGGAAAAATGCAGAATGTCTGGTTATTTTAGCCACACACAGCTCAAAACTGTTCCTCGTTTTAAGGAAGGGTGGTGTGGCAGTATTTAAACCCAGGAGCTGATGACACTACTGCTAAAAAAAAACAGAAGAAAAAGTAGTGTGTGTGTGTGTGTGTGTGTGCGCGCGCGCGCGGTTCGTTCGTGTCTCCTGGCTAGTAAGTACTGAGGGCTTCATCTATCTAAAAGGAGTCATTTCCATCTGAATGTGGCAGCACCGGGACACAGCAGCAGAGCGGTAAGCTTCATATCACTCTAAAATGTCGACAAACTTTACTTTAGATTTACGGGCATTAGACGCACTAAAGCGTTAGCATCCGGCTTGCTATCGCTAGCACAGTGTGCTAGTAAAGTTAGCACCCAGATTAATGTGGATTTGGCTTATTTTCGTGGAATCAAACGTGATTTCTGATCAACGCCTTCTTTTACACCAGATGTACATCCACTGATTGTAACAGCAGAGAGTCTGTGTGTTATTCTACGTGAGTGTGATGTAATCTTAGCATCCAGTAAATAAAGTCCCATATCAGCTAAAATGCAGCGTGACAAAGTCATTAAAGTGCGTCAACACAGTGGATTTAATAGTTTTAAAGAACAATCTCTGAGTGAAGTGAGGTTAGTTTTTTGTCTCACTGCAGATATAAAAACGAACTCTGCATCAGTCAGATGCAGCAAAGCTCACCGTCTGTATGAGCGTGAGCGTCGGAAAGCTGATCAAATCAGCTGTAAAATAATTAAAACAAAAGTAAAAATGTTCCTTTGCTTTTTAGAGTCAACATCCAGAAGACTGGAGCCGTGTTTCACTGACAGGCTGTCAGACTAACGCCCTGATGAGCTCAGCTGGGACAAACTGGTCTGATGTTTAGGTAAGTGAAGATCTGCTTCTCCAAGGCCTTGAGATGCTAGTAAAAAATAATTTAGCCAGCTTGCTAATGTTACTTTTCTTCTCCTCTAAGGAACACAGAACGTTCAGATGTTGGAGCTTCACGTCACCTACTGAGGAAGGAGACCCACCAGTAAAGAGACGGTCTGGACCAGACCAAAGTGAGTGATGACACACCTCAGCCACCCTCATCATTAAGAACACCTCACCCCCTGAATCACTCCGTCTGATGACAGCAGAATGATTTATTTGATGTTTTACTTGTTTAGTCTGTTTAGAAATTATTGAATTACATTATTTTCTGTAAACAACCATCTGATCTGGACATGTACAGAATAACTTTCCCCAAATTCAGCAGCAGCTGGCCTGTAAAAACAGCTGCAGCATGTAGTAAGTCTGTCTGCGCTGCTCTCTAATGAGCTTCCTTTCATAAGGAATCATTTGTATAATTTTAGTGTCACTATTTTATTACATTTGTAAGAATATGAAGTCACTGCAGCAAAGTGAACTTGTGAACAAACACAAACGTGACTATAAACATGAAAGCTAAAGAAACAACTTTCCTAAAGCTGCTTGTAAACAAAATATGTCATTAATGTTATTGTCTATCATTGCAGAATATGGCGATGACATCATGGAACTGGTCTTTGGAAAAGTTTTCCCTGAACCAACTCAGTTTCTAGATGAGGTAGAGAAGATCTGCATCTCACCAACTCTCTGGTCTCAGTATTCAGACAACGGAGGTCTCCCACTGTTATCCAGGACCAGTTTGAAGCCCACATACTGCCCCTCCCTCATCATCAGGAAACATCAATCCGTATCCTGAGGACAACAGAAGACGGCAGGAGGACAGGAACTCTGAGACCTAGATACCACCAGCACCGGGACACAAAGCACCTGTGTGCACAATGCCTGTTTAACTACTAAAACCTGTTTATTATATTGTTCTACTTATTTGCTGTGAGGTTAATACTTAGAAAATTAGTATTTTAATGTAAACAATAAAAAAATCACTGATTGTATGTTTTCTTTTAGATGTAATGGTCCAAACTCAGCCTTGTAGACATTTATTGCATCCTGTAGGTAAATACACAGAACAGGCTCAGATCCAGGATGACCCAGCATGCTCTTCTTCCATTCTGGCTGTTAGGGATTGTATCAATAACTCAATGCCTACTGATGTTTTCACCTAACGGTATTTATTTAGAATGCAGGTAAGATTTAACTATATTTGTTAGCAAAGCAGACTGATCTTGGGAATTTCACTGCAGCACTGATGTCCACCTGTGTGTACACATTAGAGAGAATTACCACTTTACAGCTAAACACATTTAATAAAGATATAGGCTACACATTGCAGACAATAAAAACAAAGTTGTAAGCATTAGAATTATAATCACATTAGAGAACATTTGGAGGAATGTTCTTTATTTTTGACTAGAATCTCAAATCTTTAAAATGTAACTGCTTTTTATCCATTTTCAGCCATTAAGACACCCAATATTAAATAAGACTACTTATAAAATTATTTATAATTATATGTATGTATATATATAGATAGAGATCTTAATAAAATATATTTTAATGGTGTTTTAATGAGCTGTATCATTTTTTAAAACATTTTTTATAGAAATAAATAAGCAAGCAGCATTCCTTGTGTGTGTGTGCGCGTGCGCGTGCCTGCTCGCTTGTCCCGTCGGCCGTGACGGATGTGTGTGTGTGTGTGCGCGCGCACGTGCCTGCTCACTTGTCCCTCCGTCGGCCGTGACGGGTGTGTGTGAGTGACTACAGACAAATGCATGAGAGAGTTAGCAGCCTTGAAACAGCTTGATGAACTACTCTCCCCACATGTTTTAAAAATGCTAATATGCTATGCTAAATCTGCTATGCTAAATAATGATTTCTCTATAGAACTACAAAGTCCGGCTGGGGGAGGAGAGTACAGGTCTGCACTATGGAGGGGGGCGGAGTTTACAGCTCCTCCTCCAGTTTAAAGAGACAGTACCCCAAAACGGCTCGTTCTCAAGACTCTCCTCAGAACAGGGGTAGATGAGGGTCTGTAGAGCAACAATAATGAGGAAATCAGACCAAAGAACTGCAGTTCCACTGTATTTAGACCCCCAACTGAAGGATTTAGATGTAAAAAGGAATAACTTAAAAGCATGTTATGTCTCCTTTAATTTATAGATGGGAGTTACAATGCCTGACAAATCAGAAAGAAAGGGAGAGGGGATACAGATGGAGTACATGCGGAAAATGAGGATGTGAAGTTGTCTTTGGAGGAGATGGGTTGACCGATTCAGGTTTGGTGGAAAACTGGGGCACGTCGATGGAGAAATGACTGCTTAAGATTACGATTCGTTTGACTTTTGGAGGTTTATTTAAGACACCTGTATTTATGTTTACAGTGATGTGGGGGAGTTTCACCAGGGTGAGTGATGAGCTCATACAAATGTTCATGAACTTGTGTAAAGGTTGGATTGTGTTGTGTGTAAATGTGGTCAACAGCATGATAAAGATTTCCGGTTCGGTCCCAGTTTAGTATGCAACTGTTGGGAGTGTACGTCAGACTCCGAGGAAGTGGATCGTCTTCAGACTTCGACTGTCACCAGTAAGTCTTAAGCGTTTAAAAGTCGAGGATGAGTGATTCAACCCGGGTGAAGATACTAGTCTGTCATCTTTTGCAGCATCTTTAATTTTATTTGTAAGTTCTTCACAATAAAAAAAAACCAAATGCACATAAAATGATAGAGATAGAATAAAGGACATAAAAGCAACAAAAATAAGTAAATTCTAACCAAAAACCAAACTGATAAAACCATAAAAATCATGCAGCCCTATCTAATTACCATTCAGCCTAAATAAATGAGTCCTCTGCTGTTTAAAAGTGACATATAACATTTGCCCTTAAGTTTTAACAGTTCTATCGACGCAAAACATGTTCATGAAGTTCTTTGCCCAAAATCCCTCTCACATGAAACAATTTCAGCACTTTCATTCCTGATAGTTTTAGTACCTTCCAGAATGAGCCGTTTCAAGGCACTGCTACTTTAAGAAAACAAGCTGCAGCAGGTACCCATTCAGGCTGCTATGAGCCGAGAAGCTCCAACACTGGGAGAGGCTCAGAGTACAGTCGCTGCACCTCCAGCGACAACTTCTCCCCTCCAGGTGAGTGGTGGTTCCATTCTACTTGCCCTATTTGTGACATCACAAATGTGTACTTTTTCCAACGGCTTGGTTTAGGTGTGTAATCCCTAAGACCAAATACTGACAGAAAATGGATGGATGGATTTGTTTAACGTTTGAAGTGTAAAAGGGTGACTTTTACATAATATGCCTCCTTCATAAGAATAAATACAGGCAAGATGACGTAAACAAGGAGGCAATGCAATTCGCAACCTGGGGGCCATTGCTAAACGATCTCTTAGAACAAATTCGTAATTCAAAAACAAATAAAAAAAGTAAACCTTACTATAACTTACATTTACTATCGCTTTGTTTTAATGCCACACACACTTTCTTAACTGCTTCTTCCCCAGAGCGGTCGCAGGTATCTGGTGTCCAACTCCAGCAGTCATTGGGTGAGAGATGGGGGAGACACCCTAGACAAGTCTCCACAGGTCAATCAGGGACACAGAAAAAAAACAGCCACACATTCTCTCACAACATTCAGGGTTGTCAGTTACCCTAGCATAAATACTTTGGTCTGTGGAAAGAAGCCGGAGTAAAGCCACAGCTGGGATTTGAACCTACGACCTGCTCGCTGTGAGGCAACAGTGCTAGTACGTGCCACCATGCAGCCATATATAATAACCCCATGTGCTACGAAATGATTTCTGAAAATGCAAAGAAAACCATAAATACCAGGACATAGTGGAGATGCCTCTTGAGAAACTTTCTAAGTAATCAAAGGACAAAAATGGTCGATTAGACCGATGTTTTAGAACCTGGTGCACACAGTTTCTATATGGAGGTGTTTTAATATTTGATACAAAAACAATCATCAGATTTTAACTGGTTAAGACATCCTTGATAAATGAAGCCAAATGAATAATTTATTGCCAGAACACCAACAAACTTCAGACTGAAGTTAGTTCTAGTGATTTCTGCTCTTCCTACAGCAGCCTGATCGGATGGCTGTAGGCAGCAGTTCATTGTTTCTAATCAGCACGTTTTGCTCAGACGGTTCATTATTTTGGATTTGATCACAGACTTTAGCCTCACAGAGCACAAACGAGATTCAGCGACTGCAGAAGCACTTCGTGCAGCTCCAGCTGCTCAGAAGCTCTGAATGTTTGAGTTTTTTCTGACCAGTAGTTTGATGAACGCATCATTTTTTTTTCTTTTTGGGTGAGAACTTTGTGTTCTTCTTCTCCATCAGATGAGACAACCTGAACCCGGAGAGATAAAACACTGTCAGAGGAGACGGTTGGTTTTGGTTTGAGCCGAGATCTATCCAAATTCTCCTCCTCTATTCCCTCTGAACTCCCCATCTGTTCCAAAACTTCCCAGCATTCCATTACTTCTTTGCTTTTCATTCCGATGGCCATCACATAGCCTCATTTCCTCTGTGGTTTCGTCTTTCGGACTCTTCCTTGCATTTGCGGGAATAAATCACCGCCACCTCAGGAACACCGTGAATAAGTGATAACGTCTCTGTGATCCCTTCAAGAATCCTTCACAGCATCCTCTTTGGAGCAAAGTCACACCGTGTACATGATTATTTACACACATCGTCGCGTTCTCCTGGAGAAAAGCTCCGTCTTTAACACGCGCTCTCCGCTTCAACCCGCAATTACACCAGCAGCCTCTTCAGGCAATTTAAGAGCCCCCACAATAAACGGAGGTGTCTACATCATCACAACGCTGCCGCACTCGCAGGTTCAAGAGAAGAGAGGAAATTACGGTCGTCATTAGCGTCTGGAGATTAAAGAGCGCCGACCTCAGATGACACCACCTTTTTTCTTTTGATAGTGATGGAGATCCTTCTTAAGGGTTTACTCAGGAAGTATTCACATGTGTAAATGTGTGGGTGTGTCTGCACCAAACAGGGCATGAGTGAACAAAACTACAGAACCACGTGTCATCTGACAACTCATCCACGATTGCAATAATGTCAGTGAGACTAAACGCATCTAATGGACGCGTTCCCTTTTCTTCTCATCCTTTACTGAGTGTCTGAGCTCAGGACAGGAAACCAAATTAGTGCTGACATTGTGGGGAAACTCCTAGAAGCTCTCAGCTTTAGAGGATTTATTTAGCAGGAGGTTGTGAGTCGATGTCACGCAACCCCGACGCCCCCTTCTCTCTCTCTGAGGAACGAGCTGGTGAAGAAATCACACGCTGTTATGATTAATAACGCCTATAGTTTAAGCACACAGCCGACAATGTGAGGTGGTGATGATACAAAAGCCAGTAAACAATGACAGTTTAGCTATTTTAGTTCCTGGGCTGCAGTGATGCGTAATGTCGGGGTTGTTTTATTATCAAATGTATTCGATTCCACCTTTACCAGAAGGAAGATCGGATTTGAAAATGTCTGCTTTGAACCGTCAAGACATCGGATCAACATGCATCTGCAGCATCCTTGAGTATGTTCACTTAAAGCAGCAATCTGGAGTTTTCCCCCTTTCAGGAATTCTGTTTGACTTTTTAAGCCGGTAAAAGTGGGAGTCTTACCCTGTACTGTGATATAATCGAGGCAATACGTCTTTTCTTTTTCTAAGCCCGTCCCGCGTCCTGTTCCCATGCATTCTGAGTTGACCGCCATTCAGCATTAGCCAATAGCGTTAGATCAGTTTACGTACAGATGTCAATCACAGAGCGTGTGCGGGCGTTTGTGTACATACCTAGACTGATGCAAAGTGGTAACTTTTCTCATGGACAATAAAAAGTCTTTAAAATATGTATGTGAGCAAACAGCGTAATGTCCGTAAATATGGACCCCCCCCCCCCCCCAATTTTTCCCAACACCGGTAGGCTATAAATGTAAATAATCCCCTGTAATTTGTTTTCAATGGCACGCCAGTTGTTGCAACTGTAGCCTGAACAAAAAACACCCACTCTGCATTAACTCTAGTCAGGTTTGGAGAGTGAGGAACCCACCTAATATGGTGGTGATGCAGTTACGCTCTCCAGTGTCCAATGGCGTATCTCTGTATTCGTGTTGATTAGTCTGAGCGGTGCTGCCACCTAGTGACTGGAGGCTGGTTTAGTGTTCCAGAAAAAAATTCACTCAAAATTATGGATTCTCCTGCCTGTCCTTTTTTGCATAAGCCTGATTGGTTGGTGCCCCCGTCCCACTTGGTGCCCTACGCAAAGTGTGTGATGCA